CACCCAGCAGCGCTGCTGATGCCTGAACGGTATGTGGAATGAAGTGGGCGGGCATCGGGAGGCTACTATGGCACGGGGCAAGCACTATGGGCAGTCTATCTGAAGTGTACCCGGCGTATAAGACGACCCCCCACTTGGAGGCATATTTTTCAGGGCCAAAAAATCGTCTTATACGCCGGCAAATACAGTATTTTTAAGTGTTAGCAACATATTTTGCTATATAACATTTTTGTTTGTTTTTAAAGGCTTCTGACAAAGTCCCATCTTACCTTCCAGCTCGACCTTTCCTTTGCTTGGCATTAGCTTTACTAACCCACTCAGCAGACATAGTACTGATGTTGTTCTGTGTGTCGAAGTGTGTTTCCTTTATTTTTCCTCCATCTATCACATAAACTACATCATCTATGGTAATGCTGTTAGGAAAATAGATATATAAAATATTAACACATAAAAAGCTCATTAATCTATGTCAGGTCTCCAGACAGAGATTTTAGAACATTTCTAATGGATCACATTGATTATAGCAGTTCAGGATTTTCACCACTCTTCCCACATTTACCAACGTTATGGGATCCAGCACCTCATTGTATGCATCCTCAGCACCTGCAGTGGCAGTGCAGTGTCCTGCCAATTATGCAGATACCATGCTAGATTCTTACTTGCCCACAGACAAACTTCATAGCTTGCCTGATGACTTTAGTTCCTAGGTTTTGTGACCCTCACACTTCCCAGTGCCATGGTTTAGTATCAGCTTTCACAGAACTTTAGTGCTGTACCGGTATATTAGTACCCTCAAGACAATACATTTTAAAGGCTGTATAAAACTGCCAAATTACCAAACAATTCCATCCCCAATCAACAAAAGGCAAATAAAAAAACACTGACATCAGCTCCCATGGTTTATAGAAAGGTTTTGAAAAACAAACAAACAAACAAACAAAACACCACACACCCATACAACACTTAAAAGGCCGTTATTGAAGAAGGCTAAAAAATTAGTATAGGTTAAAACAAACAAACAAACAAACACTAAACAAACCTATGCCACTACCATGATTAAAACACTTATTTTTAAGACTACAAATATTTTGTAGAGAAAAAAGATTAAGGTATGTTAATAATTTATGGGGCTTAAAACTAATATAATCACAAGCAGTTGATATTTAAAACAATTATTTACCTAGTCTCTGCAATGTTGGTAGCAATTACTATTTTCCGAACACCAGGAGGGGTTCTTTTAAACACCTGTAAGAAAAATTACATCAAAACCCCAAAAGTACACAAATTTCTGATACATTACTCTTCAATTAGAGAAATTACTTCAGGTACTACTCATTTTTGGAACTGTTTATCTGTTGACATATGTATGAATCTGATATTTATAGTTGTATTTATAAGGTATACATCATTTTTAATACCATAAAACTCCCTTTAGGTATACCAAATTAAGACCTCCCACAGATGTCAGAACCTTATCACAAACAAGATTTTAAAAGAAATACAATAATATATGTAATTTTTTTTAAACAAAAACTGGTTAAACATCGTATTGTGTAGTCAAGCTTCTAAGGGAGAGAGAAAAATTTAGTTTAAGGATAAGAATTATGAATTACCCAAAAATATATGGGTAATGACAAATAACCAAGCAGATGGCCAACTCATCAGAATAAATGTTAGCTGGTGTACCTTCTTAAACTAGCTTTTGAGATTAGATTGGATTAAAACAAAAATCCTCTTCAAATGCTGAATCTTACCAACAATGCAGCATCGACAAAGCTACCAAATTGATGAAAAGACATGCAGCCAAGTCCCCCTTGGCTATAAAGAAACAAAATGCACGAACGTATCCCTACATGTATAAAAGTGGTAATAGAGAAAATGCTGTTTCCAAGTCTTTCACATATTCTCTAGCAAAGGAATAAAAAATTGACTGTTAGGGTGTCAGAGATGTAAGTGCCTCTGCATCGAAAACTCTGCTAAGTCTTTGGAATCAAGAGTTCTCTCTCTTTCCTCTTCTCTTCTTTATCTAGCAGCACTCTGTAACTAATTCAGCTGGCTGAGCCTTACTCAGGATTGGTACCAGCAGAAAGGATATTAAAATAATCTCAGTTAAAAAAAAAAGTACTTATATTTTCTTAGGAAAAAACTAGAAGGGACCCACCAGGGCCTGCAAACACTGCAATCCAGAAAATTATCTTGCCTTTGAGAATGCAGAGTTCATTCTAATCAGAGTAATCTCTGAATCTGACTAAGCCAAAATACTCAAAACCATAATAATAAAAACCAAAATAATACATTATTGACAAAACAGGAAATCTCACACCTACAAAAATATATATTCTAATGCTGTTAAATCAAAATTTCAAATATTAAGATATTTAATTTCTGGGTTGATTTATATTTATGGGTACTCACATACCTTTTTCCTTTTATTTATAAAAGCCAAACAAATTATTGGTGAAATCAATCTTCAAATTTTTCCCTAATGTTGGTTGACACAACTAATTTGATTTGTGGATTACCCTCTCTAATTCATGTTTTTGTAAAATTATCTCCTGAAGACTCATTTGCAAAGATTCCCAAAGAAGTATTGTTATATGGATTACTATTTGAAAATATGTCTTAAAAATAAAATATAAAACAAAACGCACAATAAGCAGTCCTTTGAGATTGCCTCAGTTTGAAAGATAGTGAATAAATTTAACATACCTGTGTCTGGTTAACTGTAGGCATCAGTGAATGTAAAGGTATAATAAGAAACCTGTCTGAAAATTAAAAAGAAAAATTTTTTTTTTAGAAAATTAAATTTTAAGATAGTTGCAGAAAAGCTCCATCAGACATATATAGAACATAATCTTAAGAAATTACATTCATACATTTTTTTTAAGTTTCAAAATGAAATAGCTCAAGCTCATTCATGGTTATTAGGTAATAGAAAGTTTGTTGCAGTATAGTTAGGGGAAGGAGGGTGACTGTTAAGGAAAAAAAGGTAAATTTCACATTTAGCTGTGGTTACAAAAAAATGCAAACTGACTTAAATCTCTAACAACAGTACCCAAATGAATCAAGATAGCTATATTTCTACCAGAAAAGAACTGGTGTTATTTGAAAGAGAGACTGTCTGTGACCCTTCTGAACTTAAAAAATAGTAAAATGCTGTCAAGCAAATGGTTTGCTAAAAAAATGCTCTAAAATTACTTTGGTGACATGAAATAAAGTTCATTAAAAATCAAAATTCAAACCGAAAATACTTAACTCAAATTGAATTAAGCCTTCAAACATAACTTCCTGTTTTTAGAAAAATCAGGTCAGAAAGAATCAAATGAAACGATAACATGAAGATTCAGACAAATCAGAGTTGATCTGGTCTTTTCCATAAGTCATCAACGTGAAAGAAGTAAGGAAAGAATGAGAGTGATGTTCTAGAACTAGAGTCAAAGATTTATCTGGTTTGACGTTTTCTATAATTTGAACAAGCTAACCTTGAAAGACATTACAGGGGCAAAATAGGAAAACCTGATTATAGACTGGTTTATTAAATGATGTTAATGATTAGGTATGATAGTGGCGTTGAGGTTATTATAAGGAATTGTCTTTATTTTTGAGCGATGCATGCTTATATATTTAGAGATAACATATGATAGCTATAATTTACTTTAAAAAGGGAAAAAAATTAGACCATGAAAATAATTGTTGCATTGAAGTCATTTGTATATGGTATTCATCATATGATTTTCCTAATTTTCTATAAGCTTAAAATGTTTCATTACAAAGTAAAAAAAAAAAGATCAGTCAGGGATGATGAAAGTAATAACAATTTTGCTGAAGACAATATAATTGGGATAAAAATAATTTATATAGCTGATATCACACACCAAAGTAATCAACAGAAACAGAATTTCTTATGACAAGAATGAGAATGTTGATAAACATTTGATAAATTGAATTTCAGGATTTACTTTTCAGTCAGTATGGAGTACAACCAATTTCTCCCTTTTTTACAATGACTAACAGTATATAACTGATTATTAAGTCTAAATTTTAAAAATGATTTGAGAAATACTTGCTAAACTTTAAAAAACTTCCTTTCAAAGAAATTGAGCTGGTGGTGAAAGTTTAAATTAATACCTCCATTCTTGAGAATAATTAAGTCAAATTAGAAAATTAATGAAGTCAATTATAATAATCTAGCATATCACACCCTTTCCCCATTCCCACAGAAATAGTATTACATTTGGGCATATATATTCCCTGGGTTCTTATGAGGGGAAAAAAGAGGCCAAAGTTGGAAAACTCATCCCCCCCCCCAATTCCCATTGTTTTTAAAAAAAATTCAGCGTAGAGTTTAATTGTGCCTAGTCTTCTATATGGAAATGTTACCACTTACAAGAAAAAGAAAAAGTGGCATTTCATCATAGAGAAGTCATGGTAATCAGACAAAAATATTTTTCTAACTTGAGAAGAGTAAATAATTTTAATTATAAAGAATACTTTGAGGGCACTACTACAATAGAATTTAACAAAGAATAAAAAATACACCTTTTACTAGTCTAGCCAATACAATTAGAGCAAATATTTTTTAGTTTTATAAAATAAAAATGTGTCAAAATTACTTCAAGAGAGTAAAGTTAGAAGTTATATTCACAATTATACATTAAATAGAATTTGCTTTATATTTCACTGATTTGAAGTTAAAAATGACACCTGAAGATGCTGTAACTGAATTTTATAGGAGAAAAATGTTCCCCTGCATTCTCTAAGACAAAAGAGGTGATGCCTCTTAAAATAATACTGTTAAAGAATCAAATCATCTCAGAAAGTTTTAAAACTTCAGGTCACTTTCTTAGATTTGGGGTGAAGAGGTCGGGTATCTGAAGTTTAAATAAGTGCCATGCTGACTGAGAATTAGTGGACTAAGGGATTACAGACTCACATGCCAACATTTTCTCTTTAAGGGCTCAATTTATTAGGCAAATTTAGGAGGAGAGGGGAAATGTTCTCACTATAATAACACATAAAGAACTTCACTAAAATACCCACCATCTTCACCTAGAATTTCAGAAAAAAACAACCAAACAAACGTAAAATAATCCAACTTTTGAAAAAAACTGATCAGGGCTAAGACCACCAAGTTCTTACAATGACATGGCCTTAGAAGCAATACTTCCTCAAATGAAAGATAAAAACCAGGCTACATATGATTCAAGTACCACTCTTGGAATTGCAATAAAATACATTTGAGTAATACCTGATTTAAACATCACTTGTGACATCAAGAGATCATGTAAAGTGCTGATATTGTCCCAACCTGGTAGAAAGACCAATATTGCACCATCCTGTATGGAAGGGAAATAATCATTACAAATGATCACATAACAAAATATATAAAAAAATCTGTGCACTTTAGCCTTTATTAAAATTATACTGCCTAAGGAAAATTTTGGTTACTGATTGTAAATAATGAATACAAGCTCACTTTTTAAAAATAGAATTTGTAAACCAGATATTTCATTTGTTTAGTCTTTTCTTCAAATAGGTCAAATATCTAAATCACTTGGCATTTTGAGATTCTCATTCCTGGTGTCAAAAGCAATTTCTTCTGTAAGTAATTTTTATTTATTTATATTTTTAAATGTTTTAAAAGATCTTTCTTTAAATTATTTTGAGTTTAATCCTGTCTTTTTTCATTTTTAAAAAATATATTTTATTGATTTTTAGAGAGAGAAGAAGGAAGAAGGAGAGAGAAAGAAACATGGATGAGTGATGAGAGAGAATCATTGATTGGCGGCCTCCTGCAGGCCCCTCACTGGGGATCCAGTCCACAACCCAGGCATGTGCCTTGACGGGGATCGAACCTGGAATCATACCCAGGACCCTTCAGTCCACAGGCTGACGCTCTATCAACTGAGCCAAACAGGCGCTAGGGCATCCATAAGATATTTTTAAAAAGCATTTACGAGGCCCTGGCCAGCTAGCCCAGTTGGTTGGAGAGTTGTCCTAATGCACCAATGTTGCAGGTTTAATACCTGCTCAGAGCACATACAAGAGTCAACCAATGAATGCATAAATAGGTAGAATAACAAATCAATGTTACCCTCTCTCAAATCAATTTCTTTAAAAAGGCATTTAATTTTTTTTATGGCCTTGATCTAAAAATAAAATTAAGTCACTTGAGGAAAACAAAACTAACCTCTTCTTCCAAAACAATGTAGCGAATAAGGGCAGCAATCAAATTCAGATCAACTTTATCATCATCCATCATTTCTATAACATCTACAGTACTTGCAGAATACCTATCAAAGTTAAATAAAATATCATGAAATACCTGATATAGTTTCCTGATGTTTAAATTTCTGTAAAATCTAAAAATTAACTCAACCTTCAAATGAGGGAATGATAGGAGAGAGTTAGTGGGGAAATAACAGTTTTACAACATACTATTCAGCTGGAAAATGAGATAATATTCTTAAATACGTACAAATTCAAGAAGATAATTTCTGCTTTTTGTTTAGGTCAATTCAGTCACTATGCTCTGACTTCCAGACAGAACAAATTTACCTTTTCCGCAGTTCCCTTACATAATCCGGCCAGCGTTCTTTGTAGGTTGCTTCTTTTTCTTCTTTCTCTTGTCTATTTACATGCCCTTGCATGAAACCCCTCTTAAACTGGGATCTGTGTTCTTTTTGTTCTGGAACATATCTAAAATGAAAACGTTCTTAAGTAGCTTCATTTTTTAAAAACTCTCTGGTTGTAGCTAATATTCAGCTTATATTTAGGATTTTAAAAAAGATTTTTAAGTAATTTCACTATAATTTCTAATGAACAGTAGTTAAATATCCATTTATTTGCAAGTATTAATTAACATAAAATCTGACATTTTGGATGAAAATCATTCTTCTCTATAAAGTATATACAACTCTAGATCATTTTAAGCAATCAAAATTAGAGTAACTTTCATCTTCAATTTTAAGTTTGCTCTAAAAAAAAGTTAACATTAAGTCCCAAATAATAGTTAATGCTGCCTAGTAGAAGACTCATATTTTACATATAGGTTTTCAAACCTGAGTACATAGAGAGTTTGTAAACTGTAAATTCTGAAATCCTATACCTTGCAATTTGGATTAAAGTCTGATTGGTTGGGGTCAGCTAACCCAGGAATTTTAATTAGTGCCCCAGGAGATTCAGATAGTGTATCTATAAATGTACAGACACATGCATGAGAACTATTTATTCTGCTCAGGCTCACAGATATAGCTAATGGCAGAGCCAAATCAGCATTCAAACCTCGTCTGTCCAGCATTATGCTCTGACTCCACTATGCTGCAGTGACTGCTATAAGCAGGGCACATTGGCCCCAGAATCCCAACTATTTACTGTAAGTGGGTTCTGAGAGCATGAAGGTGGAGAAAGACAAAGAAAAATGAACTAAACTTTTAACCCCAAATCCCCTCAGAGTTTGCCTAGGGAACAGCTTCCAGATAGAATGGGAGGTTTGGAGCATTGGTTTTGTGAGTCAGACAGATTATGGAAATGATGTCCTTGCTCTGATATTGACTAGCTGACTTTAAACAAGATGTAACTTTCAGGTCTCTAGTTTCCCTATTTTAAGAGATTAATACTTTGATAATAGTATTGGCATAAGAATAAGAGCAAAGAAGTGATAAAGCACAGTGCCTGACACATAGCAGACACCCCCAAAGTGTTAATCCCCTTCCCTATTCAGTACCTGTGACCCAGGATCCCCCTAAGTCTTCCATACATATAGAGGCACCAACTTGAAGTAGGGCAACCTGAGACAGAGATTAGTCCTAGTCAGCAGGATGGACCCACGGTTGGTTCCCTTCCCAGCAATTCCAACAGAGGTAACCTTCAACCCCGACCCCAAGGGCCCAGTCACAACCCTCCATCTCATGTCACCTTACTTTCTTCCCTCCTGCTTCCCTGTAGTGCAGCTCTTCTACAAATAGATACTATCCTTTTGCTTCGAGAGACCCCTTAACTACAATTCCTTGTATACAACATGCCTTCTAGACAGCTTAAGAAAGCAATCCATCCTTATGTAATTTTAGATTACTGATCCTGGAAACATTGTTTGCATCATCATTGTCAAGTGCTGACTTTTATTCTCTTAGAAAACGATTGATGAATGTGCTGTGGTAGGACGCAGAACACATAGTGGAAAGTAGAATTGAGGAAGGGCATAAAAATTTATGGACATGATACAACCAGAGCATGGAGACCTATATAACTATCTCTCACTTTTAATATGTTCCACCCTGACATACACACTTCCCTCTTTCTTATTATGAATTTCACTGCTTTTCTGACTTACCTAGCCTATCTCTGCTATATATAATCTCATTTCCGACACACTCCACTTTCTCACAACAGGTCAATCACACCTCATATTAACAGTGTACATGTCTCCCTGCCTTGATAAACTGTGAGGTTTCTACCAAATCTAGCCTTGTTTTATTCTCAGAACCCTAAGGCACAGTGCAAGACACAAAGTTTAAAAAATTATCTGTTAAATTCTGCCGACTTTCCTCCATATAAAATCTTTCTTTTCACTTTCCCACTATTCATTTTCCCATTTAACAAGTAAGCTGTGGAATCTTGAAAAATTTCATCACAAGTGTTTCTACATCTGTCCCTGTACTTATTCAGATGTTTACTAGAGGTCAGGCACTGTGCTATGCACTAGTTACAGAGATAAAGAGTATAAAATCCTTGACCTTGAACCTTCTGAAATCTATTGAAAAGACAAATATAAAGAGGTGCTTTACATGGTGATAATATAAGTGTTTTAAGGGACATGATAAAAGTGCTACAAGAGCCTGGATGAGAAAACATCTCATTCTGTGAGAGGACCAGAGGTGGTTTAATAGGCAATGAAGCTGGAATTTATTTTTATATAATCAATAGTTTATAGGAGAAAGAATGGAGAGGGTGGCAAATCAAGTCGAAAAGGAGGAAATAACATGTAACAAAGCACAAGTCATGAATGAAAGGCCAATGGCTGGCATGCTAGAGAATGGCAGCAATTGTGAGAGTGAAGATCATGGTGCCAAAAGAGGAACTATTATGTTAGCACAGGAGAGATAATATGGATCTTAAGTAGAAGAAACAAAAATGAGAAGACAATGTATGATCAAGGCATTGTGCTAGGGGGTGGGTAAGGGGAGGAATACAGGATAACTTAAGAGTAATTTGGTTACTAAACAAGTAAAGCAGTTAACTTATCCTAGTTCATAACTCCTTGATAAATATTAGCATTTTTCATTTGTAGCTTAGACAGTTGGGTGGAGGATAACATCAATAACCATGATAAGGCATAATTGTTTCGGTGAAAGCATGGTGGGAATGGAATGTAAGATGATTTTGGTTTAAAAAATGTGAGGTTCAAGGTGTCTGTGGTACTGGAATGCTGCAGAGCAGAGTTAGATAACAAGTTTAGAGGTCAGGAAGAGCTTCAGCTTTGAAGCTCCAGTTCAGAAAGCTGTGAAAATACAGAAGTATGGTCATGCAAATAGGACTGCACCCAGGAACCACAACAGACTGAGAAAAGGCTAATGGCGAAACTGAGGGGAAAATCATACTTAAAGGGTAGGGAATGGAAGCCCATGAAGAACGAGAAAACCAGGTAGGAGAACCAGAAGTGAGGTCCAAGCACTAAAGACAGAGGCTCCCAAAGTTCGCTGCCCAGGGATCTCTGAAAAATACTGACGCCTAGCTGCCAGCTCAAACTGCGTACTGTGAATGAGGAATGGTGTGTGATCGTAGCATCTGGATTTCAAAAGGCTGAGGGTGACTTTAATGTGCAACTAAGTGTGGGAATCCCTGATTTAAGGACTCATTAACAATGTTTTAGGAGGAAGAGGTTAAGGGTGAATTTCTGAATTAAAGTTTAATAGAAAAGGTAACATGTTAGCATTTTTAAATCTCTTATTTCTTAATATTTACTCACCTTATTTTTTCAATTATATCTTCCAAAAGATACTCCACAACTGGAAAAGTGAAACCAGGTATGTGTATCATTGGACAGTTACCTATTATGGTAAAAAAAACAAACATAAGTCTGTACTCAATAAAATAAAAATAAACACTATAAAAAGGACAATGAATCTATTACTTTTTATAACTTCAGAAAATGGTCCTGAGCTTTTACAGCTCTATCCTATTTTCTATATCTAGTTCAATAAAAGGCAGCAGCCTAGCCTTCACTCAACACCATTTTACTGCTACTAAACCGCGCATATACCTCACAGTTTTACAAAGTAATGGGGAATATCAAAGGACAAAGTATTTTAAATTGCACTTAAAATCCATTATGAGAAGTCTATTTCCTTTTCATCATTAGCCAGAATATTGCATTAGAACCCGTTTTATTTATATCTATATATGAAGCAGTCCTCCGTGGCACCCAGAATTAAAAAAAAAAAAGTAGTTAAAACAAGACCCAACCAAATATTAAACTGTTACTATCTTAGAATTATTAGTTTTTTAAAAAAAGATTCTTAGAACTGTTTTCTAAATGTTATTCATATTTTGTACCAAAGAAAACAGTACACACTGTAAACAATGGTCAACAATGCAGCAGAGGTCAAAGTAAATGAGGTGGTATCACACCTTTGCCTCTGATTTTCATAAATTTGAGTAAGTTACTCAATGTTAGTTCTGGATACCGCATTAAAAAAAAAAGACATAATACACTCGAGGGATCTCACAGGCTTTGAGAGTCAACTAGGCTGAATACAAGAACATGTATTAAATATAGCTCTATTCCATTTAACTCCCTACTTTTTCCTCTCCTTCCCCAATTAAAAGTAGGAGAGACAGGGGAATAACTTTAAAAGAATATATTTTGCAGCTAGCCAAACTGAATTTCAAATCCTCTCAACCCTCTGTTAATTAGGCAACCTTGGATAAGCTATTTAACTGTGCTGAGGCTTTCTCATCTTTAAAAATAAAAATAACAGCACCTACCTCACAAAATATGATGAGATTTAATAAAGACAAAGTGCCATACATACTACCTTGCACATTGACTAGTAATCACTAGTATTATTGTCATTAGCAAATTGTCACCCTAGCCTGTGAATAGTACATAAAAGCCACAAAAGAATAAAAAAATGTTAATAAAATTATTCAGATTTGTGGTTTGACTTTACTGATGCCATCTTAATTATCTGGTAGTTACCCAAAGTAATAATCATAAATTTTACTCACCAAAATATTCTGAGAATTTCTCAGCATTCAATGTTGCACTCATCAATATTACTTTCAGGTCAGGTCGATAATTGAGAAGGTCTTTAATTACAGTCATTAAAACATCTGACTGCAGGTTTCTCTCATGGATTTCATCAAGCACAATATGACTAACACTGGACAAATGCCTGAAACAGAAGTGTGGTAAAGTATGTAACTTAGTACAACAATTAGTAACATCCTATTTAATAATTACATCTTTTATAGGACTTAATTAAATGTCCTGAATTGAAATATACTCACGGGTCTGACTGAAGCCACTGAAGGATGATTCCTGTTGTACAGTATAAGATAGAACCCTGTTTCCTTGGCAACCGGCTGTGAATAAAAGACATAAGTTAACAATTCTTGGTTTTCTTTACTAATACATTACTAAGTATCACAAACATCTAAAAGAAAATCTTCAATTTTAAAATGGTTTATAGTTCTAATGAAAATCTTCAACTTAATTTTGTAGTTATAGGAATGCCTACCAGGTAATGAGAAATACTACATCCAAGTTCATTATACATTGTTTTTGTTGTCATGATACAATGTTAATAATTTATTTTTTAAAGGCATAAGCAACCACTGACATTCAGATAATGACTCATTACTAAACTTCTGTTCAGTGATTGGAAAGTCAGTTGATTAAAAAAGATAAATGAAATCTTGATCTCCAGGAAAAAAACTAAAAAAAAAACACAATGAAGTGGGATAAGGGGTTAAAGATACCAAAATCAATAAGGTAGGTCAGGGGCTGGATGTGGTACCAAAATATAGGACACTAACTCCTTTCAGGGGGAGCGATGATCTACTAATGTATGTCCAGGAAATAAGTTATTTTTCAAATCATTCCATATTATAAAAGGCATTAAAATGGTAATCCAAATATCAAATTGGGTTATAAAAATGACTGAGGGTTGCAAGCCCCCTATGCTTGTTACTTTAAATGTTAATTCTAGTAGTTATAATTGGCATACAGATGGAGAAAAATCTTTTCTTTTTTAATCTCTAGCTTCAAATTTTAACTAAATATACCTGTAAACAAGTGAACATTCTTTACCTCTGGAGACGAATTTGGTATCCAGTACTATTACCATTGCCACAAGTTTCTGCCCTTTCTGCAGCCACTCTCTCTGCAACCTTTAATTAAAATAAAATAGTTACAAAGAGATTTTCCTTTAGTACACATATCCTAACCATCCATGAAAATCTGAGATGGTTATATTTACTCGCCTCTTATATTTACTTCTCATTTTCTCTAAGCTCTCCAAGGCCAAATGCTCTTTCTTCACTATTTTCAAAGTGTCTTTCTACAGCCACCCTCTCATTATTTCTTCCCTTTCTTTTTGTCTTTCTAAAAGAATAGGAAATCCTGTTCTAAACTTATATTAACACTAGAGGCCTGGTGCATGAAATTCGTGCACAGGCAGGGTCACTAGGCCTGGCTGGCAATCAGAGCTGATCTGTGGGATGACTGGCAGGCGATCAGGGGCCCCCACCTTGGCTGGCCTGGCGCTGCTCGCTGGCTGGCCCCAACCCCCATCACTGCCACCACCGCTGCCAGATGCGAACAGCGGAGTGATCAGGGGGACCCCTGCTGGCACCTGCGTTGCCTGGCCTGGGGCCTGAGGGCTGGGAGCCCTCAGGTGCTCAGTGAGCATCATAGCAACCAGTCATTCTGTCGTCCGGTTGATTTGCATATTAGGCTTTTATTATATAGGATGTATTTATCCTCAAATTCCATGCAAGTTTTGTATTTGGTTGTTTCTTTTGGTTTTAGACTGGTGGTTCTTTCTTTTTTAAAAAAGTTTGTTTATAATTTTTTTAAATGTTTTTATTGATTTCAAAGAGGGAGGGAGAGATAGAAACATCAATGATGAGAATCATGGATCAGCTGCCTCCTCCGCACCCCCTACCTGTGATCTAGCCAAACCCAAAACCCGGGCATGTGCCCTGATTGGAAATCGAGCTATAACCTCCTAGTTCATGGGTCAATGCCCAACCACTGAGCAACACTGGCCAGGGAAGATTGATGTTTCTTAATTCCTAATTCTTCATTGTGTTTTAAAACTTATGGTGCCAAAGGTAAGCTCTGGATAGATGAAATGCTATTATAATCATACTGATTTATGTAACTAAAAATAAACAGAACAGTGATGACTGAGGTTAGAAACAGAAAATGACATGATTACTTTTAAAGAAATACTGCAGAAGTAAAACTTCCAATCAGTGTATCTGGTACACATCATTATTTCACTTTTCACTACTTATACTATGCATTCAAAAACAACAGATTTGGGGGAAGAACAGAAAAAGAAAAAAAAAGCTATTATCAAGACTACCCTAAAGGAAAAAGGAAAGTGAAGTGAGAGATAACTTACAGAAATGGCACTAATTCTTCTTGGCTGGGTACAAACTATCCTGCATGCAGATCCTTTTCCTCTTTCAATGTAATTATCCAAAATGAACTGAGTAACTTGAGTGGTTTTTCCACAACCAGTTTCACCACTTATTACTGTCACCTGATGATTATCGATCATATTTACCAATTCCTATTTCAAAAAGAAAAATAAGTGAAGGACATCACATGTTAAGTCTGAAAAGACAGTTATCGAAATTCTACCAAACTGAAGGTAACTGCTTCTTACAAACACTAATGCCTTTTAAATTTTATGTGAAATGCTGACAGTTTGGGTTTTTGATATACCAGTTTTCAAGAGCTAAGAAGCACTAAATTATTACAAGAACTCAGCCAAGACACTGTTAAAGAAAAACACACTGGTAAGAACAAGAGTCAACAGCTCATTAAGTTCCACGCAAAAGGATTAATTAAAAAGAATGTGATCATATGGGGCTACTGAGTACTAGGCAAATATCCCGATACCTAAACAACTACTGAAGACATTAAGAATTTATATCTTAATTCATAAATATGGCTTTGTCTGTAGGACAAATTTTGTATACTGTTTTAAAGAATAATGTAATTTAAAATTATTTCCTTTCAAATAATTAAAATAAAGAAAAAATTTTAAATACCTAAGTTTGCAAAATAACTTTTTGTGAAAATTCTTGTTTTTAAACTCTAAAAATTTCAATTATGGACATAAATATAAGAAAACTTTAGAAAAAACTGTTTCATGACCATATTTTTGTTTTCAACAATTCAAAAGAATAAAATGAGTTTCTAAGAATATCCTTCAGAGAAAGGTTGATAAATTTGTATTTCTTCTTAACATAGCACTTTGTAAAAAAAAAAAAACTGTATTCAAGTATTTTACAAATCAAATTAAACAGTGCATAATCATTTTACCTTTTGCATTCCAAATGAAGGCAGCTTTTCCCTGAAATGCTGAAATAAAAAATAAAAAAAAAAACAAGTTATAAATTTTTCACCAAAAACTGGAATGAATTTATAATCCTGGTAATCAGAATATACTGATAAATATGCTAGAATACAAGTAGTTTATTACCTCACAGCTTACAAGTATCAAGACTTAAAAAAGAATTTTACAGTGGGGCCTTGACTTACGAGTTTAATTCGTTCCGTGACGGAGCTCGTAACTCAAATTACTCGTATGTCAAATCTTAAAGTGAACGAGTCAGACACGTGATGCTGGGCTGATGATGTGGCGTTCACTATGACGTTCGCTGCGCCAACTAGCGGTGGGGTATCTGAAGCTGGCTCGTAACCCGAATTTTAGCTCGCAGCTCAAAGCAAAAAGTCGGCTGAGACGGCCCATATCTCGAAAAACTCATTAGTCAGGACACTCGTAAGTCAAGGCCCCACTGTATAAAAAAAGAACTAAGTAATAATTCAGCAACCGCTTTGGTTTTTGAAACACAGAAAAACAGAATTCTATTACATCCAATAGAACGGAGATACTTTCTTAGAGTAAGTGACAGTAAAATGAAATCTGATCTATCATCTAATAGCATTCTTACTATCCCTAAGTTACTTTTACAATTTTTTCTCTTTGTTTTATATATTCATCTTAGATTTTATTTCTATATCACATTCTTTTCCCACTCATTGATCCACACAATTTACTAATGCATTAGGCACTAGAACATATTCAAAGTATTCTAGGTACTTGCCTTAGAGTATAAAAGCTTAAAACAGGCCGAAACCGGTTTGGCTCAGTGGATAGAGCGTCGGCCTGCGGACTGAAAGGTCCCGGGTTCGATTCCGGTCGGGGGCACATACCTTGGTTGCGGGCACATCCCTAGTGGGGAGTGTGCAGGAGGCAGCTGGTCGATGTTTCTCTCTCATCGATATTTCTAACTCTCTATCTCTCTCCTTTCCTCTCTGTAAGAAAAACTCAATAAAATATGTCTAAAAAAAAAAAAAAAAAAAAAAAAAGCTTAAAACAGTATCAGCAGTAAGAAAATCTGGTACTGCCATTTAAAAACTGTTATCTTAAGTCAAACTTGGAGGCCCAAAGGTTTTAACTGAGGGCTGCCACAAATCTGAATGAAGAGCCTTTAAATAAAAAACTAGTAGCAGTTTCTGACACATATTACCTACTCAACAAGTTTTTTGGGAATTACAATTAGAAATACTAAAGACAGCATGACTAATTCTTTCCTGTAACTTTTACATGGTAATTTCTAGTTTTGAAAACTTTATGGAACCCCATACTCACACTACATAAAAATGACATACACTAAGAAAGCAGCACTATGGTTGACACTGAACTAGATGTATTATCCTATATAATAAAAGCGTAATATGCAAATCGAACAAATGGTGGAATGACCAGTCACTATGATGTGCACTGACCACCAGAGGGCAGACGTTCAACACAGGAGCTGTTCCTTTGTGGTCAGTGTGCTCCCCCTGTGGGAGCACTCAGCCAGAAGCCAGGCTCACAGCTGGCGAGTGCAGGGACGGTGGTGGGAGCCTCTCCTGCCTCCACTGCGGGTGGGCAGTAAGGAGCGAGGGGTCCTGGACTGCGAGAGGGATGTCTGAGTGCTGGCTTAGGCCCGATCCCCCCCAGGGTGACTTAAATGAATTCTAGTGCTTTGAGATAACAAGTCACAGGGCCTAAACCAAAAGTCGGACATCCCCTGAGGGGTCCCGGACTGAGAGAGGGAACAGGCAGGCCTGAGGAACCCCTCCCCCCTGCAGTGCATGAATCTCATGCACTGGGCCTCAACTATAACATAAAAAAAAATCTTTAGGGGTATAAAAAATATAAACCATAATTTTAACAAACCCTCTTTATTGAAAAGGGAAAAAAATGCAAAATTAGAACTATCCTAGGTAATCTAGTATATTACTGCCATGCTTTTTAATTTCTTGAAACATCCTTGTTAATTTTTTGCCCATTTGATTTGTCAAGATGGAGACTATATTAGTCCCCTAATACCAGTTTATTCTATACTAGAGGCCTGGTGCACAAAAATTTGTGTACTCGGGTGGGTCCCTCAGTCTGGCCTGGACCCATTTGCAGTCCAGGGCCCCTTGGGGGATGACCACCTGTTGACTTAGGCCCACTCCCCAGGGGATCAGTCCTAAACTTGCAGTCAGACATCCTTCTGGCAGCCAGGGAGCCCCAGGAGGATGTCCGACTAAAGGCTTAGGCCCCCAAGGGATCAGGCCTAAACCATTAGTTGGGCACTCTTAGTGCTGCCATGGAGGTGGGAGAGGCTCCTGCCACCACCACTGCGCTGGCCAGCCATGAGCCAGCTCCTGGCTGAGTGGCACTCCCCATACGGAAGTGCATTGACCACCAGGGGGGAAGCTCCTGCATTGAGCATCTGTCCCCTGGTGGCCAGTATGCATCATAGCAACTGGCCATTCTGCCTTTCAACCAATTTGCATATTAGCCTTTTATTATTATTCTATATAATAGAGCTAATATGCCAATCAGACCAAACAGAACGACCATCCGGACATCCTTCCAGATGACCATCCGGATGACCTTCTGGATGAAGCTGGAACAGCGAGGGCCAGCTGAGGCTTTGAGGGGCTGCCAGGGATGGCCAAGGCTGCGAGGGCCGGCTGAGGCAGCCGGGGCTGTGGTGGCCAAGTCCCTTGCATGAATTTCGTACATCGGGCCTCTAGTTGAGATATAATTTGGCATATAACATTGTCAGTTTCAGGTGTACAACATAATCATTCACTATCCGTATATATTGTGAAATGACCACCGCAATTAGTTAATATCCATCACTACACAGTTATAATTTTTTTTCTCGTGATGAGAACATTAAGATCTATTCTCCTAGCAACTTTCAAATATACAATATAGTGCTATTATTAACCATGCTCTATATGCCATCCTTGTCATAGTCAGGTAATTAATACTAGTGCCATAAAAATGAGTCAACCTGGTGACTTAAATGAATTTCGTGCTTTGAGATAACAAGTCACTGTATTTTTCTTAGTAATTTCTTTTATTATAATTTTTAAATTATTTAAAAACCATTTAATGATTTAAAAAAATAGTATCCTATGTAGTTAAATGCAACCATCTTAACATGTAAGTATATACAAGTTATCCCATTAAACTAACATCAACCTTATTTATTTTCTATATATGTAAATGCTGGTGAAGGGAGAATGACAACCCAATGTTCTTTCCCATTCCTTGTCTGAGGACAGGGAATACCTTATCAGTCTTTGGAAAACATAGCACAATGAAAGACATCTAGTAATTAAAAAATTAATGTTTATTAAATAAATCGTAAAATAAGAGAAAATATGGCATATTACCAAGGATTAAAGAGTTGAACTCTTAAACACATCTGAACTTCAGACCTGGTTCTGTACTAGCTATGTAACCTTAGGTCGCTTAACCTAAGATTCCTTTTCCTCATCTGTAACAGACATGTATAATCTCATACAAGGTGTTGGAAGGTTTAAATGACATAGTATATGTAAAATATTTACAACAGTGTCTGGACAATAGGTACACCACCAACTGGTTTTGTTTTGCACATTTCTTCTCCTAACTTTCTTTAAACTAAAACAATCACTCAACTTTAATAACATTTGAGCTCTATCCTCCATACAAAGTAAACAGAGACAGTAGCTAATTCTCCTTGTTCCTAAGGCAACAAAGCAAGCTGTACTCTATTGTTCTGGCCAGTGTGACTCAGTTGGTTGAGTGTTGTTGCATATACCAAGAGGTCACCAGTTCGATTCCCGGTCAGGGCACATACCTGGGTTGCTGGCTTGATCCCCAGTAGTGGGTATGCAAGAGATAGCCAATTGACAGTTCTCTCTTATCAATATTTTTCTCTCCCTCTCTCTTCCCCTCTCTCTAAAATAAAAACCTATTATAAAAAATAAAAGAAACTCTGCTCTCAACTATATTCTGAATTAATTCATCTTGAAATCCTCTTTGTCCTTATATTTTCACTCAACAGGCATAAATAAGATACACAATTTGGCCTCTGGACAACCTCGGCTCATCTGTTCTAATCAAGATACTCTTAATCAGCAACAGTCAATGCATCCTTTCTTTCCCACAGAAGATGTGATATTCTGCCTTTCTCTATCTCTAGAACATCCACAAATCACACAATTTTATCATTTAACTAGAGGCCTGGTGCGTGAGCATCTGGCATGAAAGGGTAAGTCCCAGCTGACCCTCTGCCTGAGACATTGGGCCCCCGCCCAGCTTCCTCAGGGCCTGAGAGACGGGTGGCGGCCCAGCTCCCTGCTGCTGCCGCCACTGGTCACCATCTGTGGGTTGATTAATGGGGCAATCGCTCCCCGCTTGCACCTGCCTTGGCCTGGCACTGCCCGCTCACCTGCTCCACCATCCTGCTGTGGTCCCACTCTGGTGGGGGCTCATCGGGGCTGGAAGTGCCTCTGCCAACGCCCACCATGATCAGCACACTCAGAGTGAGCAGTCGAACTCCCAGTTGAGGGGGCAATTTGCATATTAGCCTTTTATTATATAAGAGGAGAAGGAAGGATAGGAAGGGACCTTAAAATATCTTGCCTAGCACAAAAATATTGGGGAGGGAGGGAGGAATTCAGGACAATTTCAGTTCCTATCACAGTCCTATCTTTAAAATGTTGAATATCATATAACTTTTGAGGGGGTTTAATGTGGCCATCTGTAAAAGGCAAGCTTTGGACTAAATGGTAGAGAAGGAACTTTATACTTCTAATCACTGTGTCACAAAAGACATTTCCCTAAACTGGCCTAGTAAAGTTAAACTTCTTTTGTCATTTGCATTACCATTTTCAAATATTTTTTCTCCTCACCATATAAGCTGCTGTAAATGAGCTAGGCCAGTGGTTGGCAAACTCATTAGTCAACAGAGCCAAATATCAACAGCACTTCTTCAAAATAGACTTGCGCAGGCCGAAAACTGACTTCTGCGCATGGGCCACAAAATGTCATTTGCACTGTGCGTGCGCCCACACGTGGTATTTTGTGGAAGAGCTACACTCAAGGGGCCAAAGAACCGCATGTGGCTCTCGAGCCGCACTGCCGACCAGGGAGCTAGGCTATTGTAATTATGTGTAATTCCATTCCTGTTGTTTTTCGCTACAATATGAGGGGGAAAATTCTCAGAGGAAGGCCTGCTGAGGAATCTCACTAATCTATACCATGCAACTACCTCTAAATATAATTTTATTGCCCTAGCTAGTTTGGCTCAGTGGATGGAGCATTGGACTATGGACTGATGGGTCCTGGGCTCGATTCCGGTCAAGAGCACATGCCCGGGTTGCGGGTTCGATCCCCAGTAGGGGGCATGCAGAAGGTAGCTGATCAATGATTCTTTCTCATCATTGATATTTCTATCTCTCTCTCCCTTTCCCTTCCTCTCTGAAATCAATAAAAATATATTTTAAAACACACACACACACACACACACACCCACGCACACGCACACACACGAGAAGTAAAAGTTTTTCCCACATCTCGCTTCCCATTACCTGCATTTCAATATACCGAAGGTCAGTTTTTTTCTTTTGTAAATCTTCCAATAACTGTTGGTCTAAGTTTACATCTGGTTCATTTTCTTGCAAGAGATATTCAGAATCTCGGTCAATATATTTGTCCCTGATTCTGAATGTCTTCTTTTCTTGATTTATCAATTTTTTTTCCCGGTCCTCCAATTTCCTCTCCGAGTTTGGTTTGTTCTCAGCAGGAGTTTCAGAACCATACCTATTTGGACAAAATAAAAAAATGACAAAAGGGTTAAATAACTACTCAAGCCCAGAAAGAAAACAATATGCTGTTTAATTATTTCAAAATCACCAAAATCAAAAGCTTTTATTCTTTTCTCTGAGTAGAGCAATTATGAACAAACTTAGATTCTTAAAATAAAATTTTTCCTCCCTACAACTAGATAATGCCAGATAAGGTATTCCTTGTGGTAATAAAAAAAAATAATCGACATAAGTCATTCCTCCATTGCAATGGCTTAGTGAGCCGTGTTGTTTTTACTTTATTTCTTCCTGCCACATTTTCTGAGCTATAAATGGGATGCTATATTACAGTCCCAGAAAAATTTTCACTAATCTCCTCTCTAAATTATAGTTTCTGTGATTTTCTTAAAACAGCATCACTTTTTGCAGATCTCCTCCACAGGAAAATTTTGGAAATACAAAAATGATGGGAACAATAAGTAACAACTTGATAAATCTCATATGAAGATAAACTATTCCTACCACTTAGCTTTCCTGTAGAATACGCTATTTTTATTTGTTTAATCTTTCATAAAATCTGCTCCATCTACTTAAAAGAAATGATGACTTTGAGACTAAATTTCACTTATTAGAGAGTCTAAAGATGGAATTTCTATTATCATTTTTTTCCCTTGCCAATGCTTTGAAAGAAGGGTCACTCTCTGCCCATTTTTTAAAAGAATACTTTTTGATTTACCCATGATCTTCAGGAGCAAACCAGGATATCTGTGCTTCTGAATCTTTGTCACTCTTAGCTTGGACAGAATGTAGTAGCTGCACAATTTGTTCTTCTCGATGTTCATCCATATGCACTACGGCTCTCTATTTGTGCAAAGAAAAAGCATCCTCGTCAACATGAGAAAGCATATATAAAATTATTTGATACAAAAATACAGGCAAATATATGTTCAACAAACACATGTAAGAGAAAGGTAATGTTACCACACTTGCCTTCTTACCCAAATCCAATTCCTAGACCTAATATGTTAACATTTTTTGTATCTAACCTTCAAGATCCCTTTCTATTATATATGTACAAAATTAGCTCTAGTGTAACTGGGTAAAAATGAATATTTATGTTCCTTCCTAAAACTTGGGTTTCCTTACCTTCTACCCTCACATATTATGATTTTGTTCCCAAGCTTAAATTTACAGATACCCACAATTAAAATTAATGAAACCCAATATTCTGTTTAAAAACAAACCCTAAGTTAAAAATTGGAAATACTATTTTGGTTGCAATGAGAATTTTAAGAGCATTTTAAAGTTCTTACATAAAAAGAGGAATATAAAATGATCAGTGCTCATGAGATGATGATCCAATATGGCAAATGATGCAGTTTCCTCATAGAATGAGAATTATTAAAACACACACACACACAACACACAGCAAAGGCCTGGCTGGTGTGGCTCAATTGGTTGAGTATTTTCCCATGTACCAACAGAATCCATTCCAGGTCAGGGCACATGCTGGGTTCAGGCTTGATCCCCAGTAGGGGCAGCTG